GAGTCACATATGCTATGAGCAGGACTTGCTGCTCAACTCATATGTGAAGGGCGTGAAGGGAAAAAACTACGGTTGAAATTAGACAGTGATGATCCCGAATATTTTTTGTACTTTGGGGGTAGTGATGTACCTAAGATTGAGTGGAAGTATTGGACTCTACATTAACTGTGTCATTTGTTTAAACGTGGTGATGTACAGGCTAACCAGTTTACTAGCTGTGTGTGACATTTGTTGGATTGCTGTTGACGACTTTTGGGGCTGTTACGCGATGTTTTAGTATGCCGTGTGACTTTTGAGTCTTGTATGTGACGTTTTAGTGTTCTGTGTGACTTTTGAATATCACGTGTGTCATTTTAGTGTACTGTGTGACTTTTGCTTCTTGTATGTGACATTTTGGTAGGTATGATTGACTTTTGGTATGTTGTGGTATGTTACATTTGTACAGGTCTGTAAATATTCTCCTTATCAGTTACTAGCTATTTATTAAATTCTTTGTGATCTGTTCTGGAAGATATTAAATTCGAACTGGTAATATGTCTCGCGGACAGGTGATACGCCACATTAGGATGAAATGGACATGTAACATACAATAGTAGGAGGAGGACAAGTATTCTTCGTACTTGGCCTGGTCGAACTCGATTTCGAGGGACTCTACTGTCGTCCTGATAGTAACCTCATCAAATTGAGCCACCACCATTTCACTCGATGAAACTGCTGCTCCCACTGTGGTCGCCATCTTCTGTAGGGTGAAAATTTGATTCTTCCGAAGAAAGGAGTTTCGTTTGTATTTATAAGAAAGCTTATTACAAACTAACAAATCAAATGTTTACAACAGAAGCAGAGGGAAGGCCCTCTTTGTTTTTGTGTGGGGACTTTAGGTGGCTATAGGACGCTTCGCTCGATGGTCGGGTCGAGTCTGCTTCCCTTGGACCGTTTGAATGAGGTTGCTGGAGAGCTTCAGTTCGCAGTAGAAGCTCGGGGCAATGGAGTTCGGGTCTGCTTAGTTCGTCGGCGATCGGAGCTCGGAACTAGGCAGCAGTGCTGTAATGCAAGGATTTGCTAACAGCTTGGTCTCAACTCTTTTTTCTCCAAGTTTTGCGACCTCTCTTCCATCGTGCTGGAAGGGGTTTTTAAATGAAAGAAGGACAGCTTGACTTCTCCTTGAATTGTGGGATGTGACCACATCCTCTTCAGAGACGTCTCGCCGTTCCTCGATACCATGAACGGTCATTCCAGGGATTGTGCTCTATGTCCTGTCACCTACGATGGGAAGGCCCATTCTTGTATGTGAGGCAACAAACGACTGCTATCCGAGTGGATTTGACCAGCATTAATGAACCGCATTTATGAGTTCGCAGATCGATGAAGTGTCTGTCCGATCACTTGTACTGTGCGTGACCGCCCGGCGTGCTTTGAGCACGATGCTTTCTCCTTTCCGGCCAGGAGAGGCGGTGAAGTAGGTACACAGTACTCGAGTGGGTCTAGCCAGCTTGCCGAGTGCCGGCGGATCCAGCTCTTGGCTCAGACAGCCGAGGTGAGTCGCATTTATGAATGCTCAGGTTGACTCGACACCTGTCCAGTCCCTTCGCGCTGTGCGCACTGCGAGCGGCCGTTTGACGGTCCTGGGGTACTGTGCTCTCTCTCCCTTCGGGTCGAGAGAGATGGGAAGGTCCATCTCAGCACGTGGGGTAGTGGATACCCAGCTGTGAAGTGTTCGCGCCACACGAATCCAACTGTTGAAAGATTCAGCGACATTGGAAGTGATATGCCCATATCTGATTGAGAACAAAAAATCATTACCACAATTTACCGCTATGTGTCACAAATAACTAACAAATGTCACAACTAACAACAAATGATCACAGATAACGGCTACTGGTCACATGTAATGGGGTATTGTCACACGATACAAGTAAAGGTCACACGTAACAGACGAACGACCCATATAAAAGCGAAATGTGACATTTAAAGGCTCAAATTCATATAACAGCATAATATAACAGTAAAGGTAATGATAATTGACGTACCTTATACCAGGAAATACAGAATTGGCCCAATTACTAGGACCATAACTTAGAGCTACTTGGTAAGCTCTTTGATCTGTCATTCGAATCTGACGCAAAACAGCATTAAATTCTCCTTCCGTGTACTTGTATGCAGCAAACTCCAATAATTTTGAAATACGTTGAGCAGCACTTGAGGCAAAACCCATCTCTCTAAGCTTCAATTTATAATTCTCAACAAGATGAAGTACACACCTAGAGTGGTACGCATCTGGAAATATATTTTTCAAAGATTGCTTTATTCCTTTGTCGGCGTCTGACAGAATTACAAGAGGATGGGGTGGATTGTATGGTTCTGTTCGATTGTACAATATATACCGCAATCCTTGAATAAACCAACTCTAATTCGTTTCATTTTCTTGGTCACAAACGGAAAATGCGAGTGGAAATATGCCTTGAATTACCATCATAAGCGGTCGCACCTAATAAGATCCCTTTGTAGCGATCCTTCAGGAAAGTCCCATCTAGAAAGAGCAACGGCCTACATCCCTTGAGAAACCCCTGTATGCATGCACCATACGACACAAATAAACGTTTGAATCTCCTTTCTTCTTGTTCAATGCTGAAGACACTGCCTGGATTTGTTTCCGTCACCTTCATCTGGTACCTAAAATGATGGTTAAATCACAAATAACTTGTTAAATACTCAAACGTCACATATAAAGTCAAAATATCACATATAAGGTTTAAATATCACATGTAATACTCAAAAGTCACATAGAAAGTCCAAATATCACATACAAGATCTAACTATCACATGTAATGCTCAAACGTCACATATAAAGTCAAAATATCACATATAAGGTTTAAATATCACATGTAATACTCAAAAGTCACATATAAAGTCTAAATATCACATACAAGATCTAACTATCACATGTAATGCTCAAACGTCACATATAAAGTCAAAATATCACATATAAGGTTTAAATATCACATGTAATACTCAAAAGTCACATAGAAAGTCCAAATATCACATACAAGATCTAACTATCACATGTAATGCTCAAACGTCACATATAAAGTCAAAATATCACATATAACGTTTAAATCTCACATGCAGATGTAGGAACAAGTTGTCACAAATAACTTTGAAATATAACGTTCACGCATCAATAAATAACGAGGACTAACCAGGATAGTAAATCATATGAATGCCTTGCGCAACCAAATATTTCATCTTTTGCTGTCTCTTTAGCACGCCAAGCTTTAGAATAATTAACTCTTAATCCATATTGAGAGTGCAATTCCTTTCTAATGTCAGTTGGGGTTATATATGGACGCCTCTTCATAATTGATTGTAGCATACTCGCAATCCACCTTCTTGATGCTCTGAAGTGACCAGCTGTGCTGTTATGTTGTCCACATGTATGTTGAGGAACAAATTTCTTTATAGCAAATGTCGACACATGGCTCAATGGTGAAGCGAAAAACAACCACGGGCAGTTTGTTTCTTCTCTAAACATGCAACTAGCACGAATACGTTTTGGCTCATTGTTAACATATTTGAAAGCGAACTTCTTAGCTATAGAGTAGTATATAAGAGCCATTCTAACTTCTTTTGCACTTTCAAATTGCTGCCCTTTTCCAGTAATTGCCTCGTGCCACCATGCTGGGATCCGTGACGAGTCACTTACTACGTCGTTCATACTGTACACATGCTCTCCTTGAGGGTTGTCATTTGGGATCCTCTCTGATTCCTCGATTGTGATACTCTCATAAGGTTGCTCAATATGCTCTGATGACTGTGAGCTTACATTAGGAACACTGCAGGTTTAATGTACAGGTCACATATAAGTCACATGTGATACTTACCAGTAAAGTCACATATAAGACTCAAATGTCACAAATAAAGACAATATATCACAAATAACGTCCAAATGTCATGTGGTATGTCTTCAGGTCACATATATAATAGAATATGTCACGTGTATCCAGAACATGAAAATATACTCTTGAATACTTACTTAAGCTCTGTTTCTGTCCCTATGGCATGGGTGGGTCCTTCATCTCTTTCAGTAACAGTCATGGTCAATGTATTTAACCCCATTGAACGATGATAACCTATCATGTTGAGAATATCTTCATCTTTTGAAAGCTCAAACGAGACATTGGGAAACTTCTTGATAGAGTAACTTATCAACAAACTTTCAAACCGTACTCTAAAATTCTCTGCGGCTTTCATCTTCAATTCGGCTAAACTTGTTGCTGAATTGACTTTAATAAGGGTTGCGTTACTGTTAAATGAAATCACACACATTAAAGAATCTTCCATTTTGGTTGTTGAAGAAGTTAAGAGGAAAAAGTTCAGAATATAAATGATTGTTGAAGGTTGTTGAAGATGTTAGGAGTAGATCAAAAGAGAGAAGAGTATATATGAGGAATGCAATATTTTGGAGGGAACCATGTACATTTCCCCCTCCAATTCTACCTCTTCCCTGCATAAAACCCCCCAGCTCACTGATTTGACAACCCGTACTTCATGATGGGTTGCTTGGCTGGCGAATAAGACAAAACCCAAGTTCGCTCACTGATTTGACAACCCGTACTTCATGATGGGTTGCTTGGCTGGCGAATAAGACAAAACCCAAGTTCTTCAAATCACAGCCGCTTTCAGCGCTGTTACCCAAATCGAAAATGAGAGTAGAAAGGGCAAAATGGGTAATGCTGGAAAATACACTATAAAGTAGAGAAACACTGTTGGGTTTGGGGTGAGATAGCATTAATACTTGGGTCAAGGTGTCCCCAAGTGTTTGACTCTAGTTGGGGAGTGGGGATGCATAGCCGAATTTTATTTAGTTCCCCCAAGCAATTTTCCCTTTTGAAAATTATAAAATGTAGGTCCTTCTTCTTTCTTCTTCCTCCGCCTTCTCCCAGCCTTATTCTTCAGCCCTCACATTTTGGATTTTGCTAGTCAAAAAACAACAACAAATAAAAAACATTTTTTTTTTCGGTTCCAGCCAACAGAGGTCAAATTAGAAAACTAACACAAAGTCAAGTTGAAACATTTTTTTTTCCTGCCATCGCAACGGCGACTATGCAATGCACCGGTCGTACGTGTAGTTCATGGATCCCATTCCTTGACCAAGATTTAGGCTCTTGTTTTAATGATTATTTGTTCCTTCTCTTGAGGTAAGATATAGTTAATGATACACAAATGGAAATTAAACCTTGCGATGGTTGTGTACGGATTAAAGGTGAGTTTTTTTAATAGGGGAATTGCAGCATCAACGATAGTCATCATCCAATAGTATAGATCTGTTTGAAGAAATGGCGAGACAGTGTAGGAAATCAGTAAAAGATTCAGCCAGGCAGACTGGCAGTCAAACTCGAGTCAGCGGCGGTCGAACGCGAACGTGCACAAAGGCCAGCGGGGACCCTGTAGGCGATCATCTCTCGAAAATCAGTTCGGTCGACCGTCACGGTCGACCGCGAGTTTGACTGTAGGATTTTGGTTCTCTGTCGGGGGTGTTCGGTTGACCGCGAGCTTCGTGCGGTCGACTGCTAGACCTGCGCGGTCGACTGTCACGGTCGACCGCAGACTGATTTTGGGCTGGGCCTTGGTTTTGACCCGGTTCGTTTCTGAGTTGATATATAACCCTAAACCTGATTAATTAGGGTTAAACAAAGACGATTTGAGCAGTCTTTTGGAGAGGATTGCTGCATCCAATTGTGGGAGATTTGTGAGAGATCTAAAGTTTTGTTTTAGGGTTTGATCAGTGAGATTTGTAACTCTATTTGTATTCTCTTGATTTCTAATAGTAAGAACTCCCCCCCTCCTTGCCCCGTGGACGTAGGCAACTTGCCGAACCATGTTAAACTCGTTGTCTTGCTGTGGTATTGTGTTTGGCTTATTAGTTGTGATTTATCTCTTGGATTGTTCGTGTCATTCCGAGAAGCTTCCGCCGCGCATAACACTGTGCATTTTTACCTGTATCCCATTATAGTTCATATCCTGATGCCTCACTGAAGTGATGAGTAGCAATCAAACTCATTAAACTTATTTTTTTTTTCTTGAAACTTCTCATTGCCCATTGTTCTAAAATTGGTTGTAGAGAGCAAAAACTAAAACGTTATGCATCCAAACCCCTTGGAAAGGTCAAAAGTCTCAAAACCATCAAGACCTAAAGATATATTTACTTATTTTCAAGCAACTTCACAGCTCGAACTTATTTTCTTTTTCCTTTCTTGCCCTTACATATCCACAACTTCTCTTTCTCCATCTTTCAAACCGTCCTTACTTGCTTTTGAATTGATCATTAATTAAGGAACATCCCATAGACATGTCAGCAAGCCGACTCAGTTCTCCCATCGATCCGCCCCATATTTTTGATCTCCCTAACCGCAATCAAGAGGAACAAATCAAATTATAATTTAATTGGTAATTAATTTACTCCTTTACATGTATGATAAAATAGAAAATAAATGCAGCATGTAAGAATTATAATTTAACATTTTAAAAAAAATGATGATGTATTGTTCACCAATTTTGTGCCTTTAGTAATAGTTGATCAATTTCTCATTATATATAAAAGAAACATGTACTTGTTTTTCTTGACAACGGCCGGAAAACTGTATGAGCATTGTTTGCTTTGTTCCCCTTTAAAGTCTGTTTCTTTTGCTAAATGCTTTTTTCGTGAAGAAGTTTTTTGTCCTCAACACGCAACGGTTACAATTCTCTTGCGTCGTATTTTCCTCCCTTTTCATCCTAATTCATTTATGAAAGCAGACAGCAGAGAAGAAAATTTTGGAACTCACCAGCCAAACATCTCACTGGTAACAAGCATAATAATGCCAAATTTATTTAATAACCTTTAGGATACATATTTTGTGACTTGGAGTCTAACACTCCCATAATAATAATAACGGTAATTATAATAGTAAACAAATATCCCTCTTCCATCATTCGTACATCTAATCTAGGGGCAGAATGTAATATCATAATCAGCCCCCGTACAAGTAAAAGTACTAGTAGCATCGTCATAAGGGTAACTATAAGCTTGAGGACACGCATCCTTGAAAATCTTCGAATAATTAGTAGGCTTGCAAACTTTAGGATCATTGTAATCGTCCGAACAACAATACTCCTTTTCCCCGAACACCAAACAAGCACTCTTGCAGCCCAGAACCACACCGTCCGGCGATCTTGCTTGCAACTCCGGCGGGCAAACCCGGTTGATGTCCGCTCCACATCCGGTAGAGTTGCACTCTGGCACGCCTCGTGGGACGATGGTGACGGGCACATTGTATCCGTCGACCAGACTTATGTCGTAAAAATCTTTGTTATCGTGACCCTGGAGGGTGAATTCGGCGAGTGACGCCGGAGGGGCGCCACCAGTGCCGGCGCATTCTGGTTTCCCGCCGCCGCAGTCGCCGGAGAGGCACGAGAATTCGGATGACGCGTCGGTTGAGCAGTTGGTTCGGGGCCAGAACCGACCGGACCATTTCGGGGGAGCTTGGATTTTGAGGGTCGAGCCGGATTGGAGTTCGAATCCAGTGGTCGGGAGTGAGCCCGAGCTCGATAGTGCCGCGGGCCAAATTTTGTGCGGGCAGTTGTTTTTCAGTGTGAATGTTGTTGAGCTCGCACCTGAAGAGTAATTTAATTTCGTGCGTAGAATTAATGATCTTGTGATAACACGTAAACAAAAAGAAATAGATGACAGCATAAATCAGTGAAAATATACTGCGTAAATGCGAGGATCTTCATTAAAACTAATGGATTAATCAGTGAAAATCTATGGCATACACGTGAGAATTTTCATTAAAAATAACAGTACTAGTAACGAAGACATTCATAGTTAAAAATTTCACCAAAGTAAGAATTATTACTAAGGATTATTACCATGGTTATTGTTGAGATGTTATATTAGTGTGAATTGTAGAAGAACCTTGAAATAATAATAATAATAATTAAATTAGAGAATCTCCTTATACTTATTGACATATTAGAAGATTCCCTATTTTGCTATAGAAATACTGAAAATGACAGATTTATCCCTGTGTGTCTTGGAACAATTCCAATCCAAACTATCTTTTTTTTACTCTAAATGTTTTTTGTTCTTTTCAAAAATTGTACAATTATATTCTTAATTTGCAATACTAAATCATACAATTCTGTGTTTCAAAATTTTTTAACTCATGAGACCGAATTTGGAGAGGTAGACTAATCTCTTTTATCTCGTAAGATTTCCTAAGTTTCAATATCAACTTATTTTTATTCATAAATTCAGAAACCAAAAGTTTAAAACAGGGCAGAGAAAACAAAGAAGAATGAAAAAAGTAACACAAAATATCTAAATTTCGGCTCAAATTATACATAACACAATCCTTAACTCCAGTGATGACAAATAGCGAGGAAGAAGACCGACAATAATTTTGTCTAATACCATAACAATTCTACCTGCAGATAAATTTAGGAAGAGTAAAATTTCATATAATCTATCTGTTGATCGTGAAACTTTAGATAATTATCACGAAAAGTTAAAATTATTTGACAATTTCAATGACTAACTATTCATTCATTAGTAAATTAGAAGAGCAGATGATTTCTTAATAAATTTAAAGAACTTAAAAAATAATACAAAATTTTTACAAAGTAATGTACCTTTGATCAGAATTGGCAGCAACAAACAGACCAAAGCAAGCCCTAGCTTCTCCATGATATTAACCTCTTGGCAACTTGAGAAAACAATTGGCTAAGAATTGGAGCTCAAATAGAGGAAATATGGTACATATAACTCAACAAGAGTACTAATTGTGCATCTCTTATATTAATTGCCAATGCTCTTTATTTGGTATTTTCTTGTTTCCTCTTGAACCTTGAAATCAGAGTGGCAGTTATAGAAAAAAACAAAGAAAGTCAAATTGGGAATTGATTACAGAGTCCTTGATTTGCGGGAAATTGATTGAGATATAGATTCAATGGAGTTTATTTTTGTACATAAGATTGGCAATATGTATCTTGTTTCTAAATCTTTGTTAGGCAATGATTCTTTAATAGTCTTATATGAAACTCTCATACTAATGGTAACAGAGTTGTTTATGTGATTAGTTTGATTTTGAGACTTTGGGCAAGTTAGGTGTTACATTGTTGAATTGGGAACATATTTATGGTAATTAGGTAATCTTTCCTTCTTAACAGTAGATTCATGGTTGTTCATTTTAGGCTAGTTAAGTGTAAGACTCAAGTTATCATAAAAAAGTGTTATGACTTATGTTGACGTTATTCTACCAAACTTTATTGGAGGAGAACATTATTCCGTTCAACTACTTATTGTGATAAGAGGACTTTCGTTAAGACTTCACAACTGTCACTGCTAATTCTTATGCCATTAGTTTCATGTCAAAGTTGTGAGTTTCATTCTAAAGTAGTTCCTGGATCTTACAAAAGTTGATGAAATTTCTCCACACAAGGGAAACAAAATGAAAAAACAGAAAAAAAGTGTTGATGAAGAATTTTATAATTGTAGACTTTTTAAATAGGATGGCGAATCTTAAGGTCCTACCACATAATTGGTCTATGGGGATGGTTCGTGGGTGCTGTTTAAAACCGTCCCCTTTGATGTCTAAAGGAACGGTTCTGTAACAGTTCTGTGATGATTCAAACTCTCATAAAGAGAGTGTAAGACAACACTTTAAACGAAAATATTGAGTTTGAATTAAGCTTGCAATAAACTTTTATAATGGGCTAATGGGACGGTCTTAGTATTATTCAAGCCCCATCAAAACAAATCACCGACTTCATTCACTTTTGCTGAGGTCTCTAGTGGCCTGTTTGGATGGAGGGTAGAGAGGGGGAAGGGAAGGAAAATTTCATTTTAACCTTGTTTGGGAGTTTCATTTAGGAGGGTAGAGGAGGGGAATGGAAGAAAAATCTGGCCCAAATTCTTACCCCCAAATTGGGGTGTAATGGAGGGAAGGAGAATTTTTTCCCTTCCTTCCCCTTCCCTTTCCTAAGGGCTTGTTTGGATTGAGGGGAATAAGGGTGAAGGGAAGTTAGGGGAACCATTCACCTTATTTGGGAACATTTAGGAGGTGAAGTTATTCACCCTAGTTCTCCTTGGTTCACCCCCTAATAGTATAAAATTTGTTACCCCCAAATTGGGGTGTAACCAAGGGGAAGGGAACTCCCTTCCCCTCCCTTCCATTCTCTCACCTAGTTTCCCTTAACTTCCCTTAAGGGCCCGTTTGGATGGATGTAAGTATTAGAAGTAAGAAGTAAATTAAAGATGTAACTTCCTTAATTATGAAGCAAAAAGTCGAGAAAGTAATACTTATTTTGTTTGTTTCATATATTTTTAGAAGTAGTGGAAATAGTATTTCCTTTGTTTCAATTTAAGTGGGCCCCTCTTTTTATTCACTTCCCCTCTACTTCTGAACTTTCAATGGTGGAAAAAAAATCTAGGAAGTAGGAGTGCCACCTAGACGCCACATCTGTATTTATGGAAGTAGCTGAAGTAGTCTTTTCGGAGAAACAAACATAATTTTTTACTTGAAGTAGGAGAAACTTCCTCTACTTCAGTTACTTCTTTACTACTTCTGTGCAAACAAACAGGCCCTAACCCCATTGAAATCCAAACACACCCTAAGTAAACTCCCAAACACACCATAGGGTTTTTCTCGTGTTGATCTCTTTTTCGTCCGCCACCTCTCCTCGATGGAGCAAAACCCGCCACCTCTCATTCACTCACGCTCATCCTCCGACGATCTCCACCTCGTGTTTCCCTCCTCTCCTTGACTCACTCCGTCCGCTTTTGCCTCTCCTTCACTTCCCCTCGTTTGACACCTCCGCTTGTTCACCGGCCATCCCAACCTCGTCTGCCACCTCTCCTCAATTCGCCGTCGTCCATTGCCTCCCCTCACGTTTGACGCCTCTCCCTGACTCCCTCTCGCCCGACGCGTCTCTTGTAATCCAACCTCGTCTGCCGCATCTCCTCCGATCGGTTCCTCTTCTGTTGCAAGGTCGCCTCTCCTCGAACCTGTCCACCGTGAAAAAGGTCTGTACTTTATCATTAAACCTTAAAGTTTCAAATTTTCTTTTTTCTCTATTTGCCAAAATTTTATTCAATTTTAAAAATTAGGGTTTTGCTGTCTCGGTTGATCTTTTAAAGGGGTTGAGAATTCTATTTCCATTACTTGACAAAGTAAATCCTCAAATCCAGGTAATTTTTTTTCATAATCTTGTTGAAATTAGAACGTTGTTTGTGCATAGACTTTTAGAATAATTCTATTTCAATTAGCTTTTGGATGGATTTTCCTAAAGCAGATTCCCAACTAACACCTCCCCATCGTTCAGAAGATTTTAAGTGGAAAGATTATTGTCCAATAGTCTTCAGGTTTGTAGTATAATGATATTATCTATATGTCTTTAGAATATTTTTGGGTAAAACAACTCATTTATGCCATGTTATACAACTCACTGCCCAAGTGGTAGGAAAGATTCCATCATGTTTTTGTACTGTAAAAAGCAAAGTAAATGAAAAATCTACAATTTTATTAGACAGGATTTTCTTGATACCGTGTCTAAGAGTAGGCTGCTTTCTTCTATGCTTAGAGATTTAGAATCTAATCTGAACACAGGCCTAAAATGCTTTGGCTTCTCATCAATGAGTGATTCCATTGAAAAGAGGGAAATCGATGAAAAACTATCACATAATTGTTGAAATATACAGTAAAAGACTAAATGGTTTCCTTTATTGATTTCTTTTATATTACAGAAAGAGAAAAATGAAGTATTTCACCTCAGCATGTGGTTTTTCACTGGTAATGCTAATTTAAGCCTCATGGACTTAGCTGTATAGTGTTCTTCAAGTAGCAGGGGGAAATAAAGTGCAGAAAAACAATTCTTGATATGCGGAGAAGGGGCTAGTAATTGGTACCTGACAGTTACAAAATTGATTAGTTTTTTCAAGATACTTCTCCAATGTTCATTTTAGTCCTTAACAAATTTTAGCTAGTGGAGGAACTTGGAGAAGATAAGGTAAAGGAACTCACTTCAAATTAGTGTTATCAGGACACTTCACCTTACAAAATTTTTGCCATGTTGGATGCTTGGAAAACACATGACACTCAAACACCCATATCCTATGATCCAGACACTTTTCATGCAATATGGAAAAGAAAAATAGGATGGTCTGTATTTAACGACTGGGAAGATTTAAGAAGAACATCTATTAATGGATATATAGGGGAAGAATTGAAAGAAGTGGTTAAAAATATTATATTACTTTCACAATAATCCAAATCACTTTTTTTTCCTATATCAATATCTCAAATTGGTAAACGAAAAGTTCTAATAGTGCACGTTGCACCTCTAAGCGTGCAATCAACAGTTAAAATATGTATATGTTACATACATATATCATGTTCCCATGTCCTTCTTTAAAAGTTTTTTTGTCGGAAGACTGGAAACCCATGTTTAAATGAATAGATTTAATCTAGAGATGTCCATTGGTAAATGCTGTTTTGCTGAGAGCCAAGTTTAGCTCATTCTTCTGTAGTCTTATGTGTGTATGTTAATTTCCTGCTGTTTGGCTACATGTTGATGTGAAAATCTTGTAGTCCATAACGATTCATGAGTTTGTTATTATTCACTACCCGACCAGCTTACTTTCTGCAATCATTACCAAATTTCTATATTTATTGTTGTAAATATAGTATTAGCCAATAGTCAGTTAGCTTCTTCATGCTTAGCTAAACTCAAAGAGCTATATAAAAACATTGCTTATATATTGATTGATGTAAGATAAATAAGACATTTTCACTCGGACATTTGTAATTTTTCTTGGGGGAAGAGCTACGGTTTATTGAATGTTTATCCTTTGGAAGCTCTAGCTCCTATTATTATTTCTTTGTTAGATGAATTTATCTTAAAGTTTCTATTTGTGATAGTCTCCCATACTGGATGCATAAATTTACGAGAATTATTCAAGATTGATGCTGCAGACTATATGATATCCATTTGTGCAAATGCGGCTTTAAGAGAGCTTTTTTCCCCTAGGAAGAGTGGAAGTGTTTTTTTTCTTTCGCAAGATGACCGGTTCATGATTAAAACCCTCCGTAAATCTGAAGTGAAGGTAGTTTGTCTCTCTTAGTTTGATATATTTATATGCTGAGTTCAGTCAATTGTGAATATGAGAATTTTTGTGTTAATCTAATGCTAGCCATGACAGACAAGCATCTAATATTGGTTGGCCTACTTCGAGTGTAATTTTCCTAAGTATTGTTCAGTCAAAATAATTATCCTTGAAATTTCTATGATACTATAGTCTAGATGAATTATATAGGGATTGCTGCCTACGTCCCTGCCAACAATTGGTAAAGGATACTTCCAAGTGCCATGTATATCACAGCGAAACTAAAACCAGCTGAAAGCAAAGAAGCATAGGAGCTCCATGTGAACACGTGACTAGTGGGGGCCACGCGGGAAGGGAAACCACGTGAAGAAGTGAAGGTTTTTTCCAAGTGGGGGCCACGGAATTGTGAATGCACAAGAATTGATGAGAACGTGTGAGCAGGTGAACTTGTGGGGACTTTGTTTAGTTCAGCGGACAAATAGGCCCACCCGAGATTTACCCTATAAAAGCCTAGTTCTAGGGTTTCGGAATTTGTGCAAGGAAAAGTGTGCAAGTAACAGGGGAGCGGAGAAAGAGAAAAAAAGGTGGTTGCAGAACTTTTGTGCAGAGGCAGAAGCTTGGACTGCGTTCAAAAGAAGAGAAAATTGCAGAAAGTACAAAGCTTTGTGCAGAGGAGAAAAATCTTATTTGGCGGCTGTGCTTTTGAGAGAGATTTTGTGTGAGGGATTTGAGAGTTTGTGAGAGGGTTTAGATTGTGAGATTGTAAACCCTAGTTGTATTCTCTCCCTCTAATAGTAGATCTTTCCCCTCCTTGCCCCGTGGACGTAGGCAGTTTGCCGAACCATGTAAAATTTGTTTGTTTGTGTTTGTGGTCATTGCAATAGTTTTAGGATCCCTCAACAAGTCAGTCCTAGAACTGATGAGAGGAAGAGACGATATCTCACTTTGTTGAGATATTCGCTTCAGATTCTTATCTCCTTGGTGAGACGGAAATTCTTATTAGGATCTTTCTCTATTATTATGCACCAGAAACTCTGTCGAAATTTTCGCTGCGCACAACAAGTGGTATCAGAGCTCGGGCTACGCTTGGGCTATTTGGAGGAGTAGATCGATTTGAAAGCTCGTCTAGGGCTTTGTTTGGTGATAAATGTGGGATCTTTTGGTAAAAGATTCTATCTTTTTAGTTTTGGATCTATTCTTCGTTCGTTGGTGCATTGAGAAAGATGTCGGGGAAAGAAGGTGCTTCGGGTGTCGAGGGTGGTGCTTCTGGCGCGAAGACCATTCAGAGTTTGAATATCCACTCTATGAAGATAGATGTGAAGAAGTTTAATGGCACAAATAACTTTGGATTATGGAGATGTGAGGTTTTGGATACGTTGAACGCGTAAAATTTAGAGGATACCTTAGAGTTAGATGGCAAGTCAGATGATATTGAAGAGAAGGTTTGAAAGAAGATGAATCGAATAGCGTGTGGTCTGATTAGGTCTTGTTTGACTCAAGATCTAAAATATGATGTGATGAATGAAACTTCTGCGAAGAAGATTTGGGAGATTCTCGAAAGCAAGTATCTGACAAAGAGTGTTGAGAACCGCTTGCATTTGAAGAGGAGACTTTATCATTTTCAGTTAAAGAAGAAAACCTCAATTAGAGATCACATGAACACCTACACAAAGCTTCTTGCGGATTTGGCGAATGTGGATGTCAAGAGATCACATGAACACCTACACAAAGCTTCTTGCGGATTTGGCGAATGTGGATGTCATAATTGAAGATAAGGATAAGGCGTTGCTGTTGTTGAGTTCCTTGCCAGACGAGGAATATGAGACATTCGTCCTTACTCTTATTAATGGGAAGACAACACTTTCGTATAGTGAGGTCACCGCTACACTTGTGAATTATCAGCTTTGAAAGAAGGATAAGGAGGCTTCAGTTAAGCCGGTAGCGGAGACGTTGGTTGCAAGAGGGAAGGGTCCAAACCGGAAGAATTGGAAGTCACAATCTAGAGTAGGACATCCTACAATTGGAAAAGATCAGTGTGCTTGGTGCAAGGAGACTGGTCATTAGAAGAAAGACTGCCCAAAGCTCGACGAATGAATGAAGAATAAGCAGAAGGAAAAAGGGAAGCAACCATCATCAGAAGCAAACATCGTATCAGATGGTAATATTTCTGACTCTTCTATTTATTCGCTTTCTATCAGTCCTACATGGAGCTATTCAGAGGAATCTGAGTGGATGTTGGATAGTAGTGCGACCTATCATGTGTGCCTTAGAAGGAAATTGTTGTCTAGTTTTGAGAAGCTGGTGGATAGTGATGTGGTGTACATGGCTGATAACCGTGCATGCCAGATCCTTGGGATAGGAAGAATTCGCATAAAAATGTTTGACGGGAATGTTAGGGAGTTAAATGATGTGAGATATGTTCCTTCTTTGAGGAAAAACTTGATCTCAATTGGAGCTTTGGTTAGAGAGGGTCTGAATGTTCGAATTGAGGACATGGTTCTCAAGATTGTGGAAGACTCTCGGATTGTGATGAAGGGCGTCAGGAGGAATAACCTGTATTACTTGACGGATTGTGATGAAGGGCGTCAGGAGGAATAACCTGTATTACTTGACTGGAGGTATAGTGGCAGGTGAAAAACTGGCGACTTCTATTGATTCGACTAGACTGCGGCATTTGGGGCTTAGCCATTCTACTATTGATTCCTCGCATAGATTGAAAGAGGGTGCGAAGACCTGCAGTTTGAAGTCCAGTGAACATGTTGATGTGAGCAAGAAGACCAAGGTGAAGTTTGGCACCTCTATTCACCGTGCTAAGGGTCGTTCTGGAGGAGTTCACGTGGATGTTTGGGGGCCTTTCAAGGGGGCATCATTGGGAGGTAATAGGCGTTTGGTTTCCTTTGTTGGTGGCTGTTCTAGGCATGTTTGGGTTACAACCAAATCTCCATTAGAGAAAGTCCTAGTAATCTCTAACAGTTTGAAGAAGTGTAAGATGGACAGAAAGGTGAAGATACTTCATTCTAATTTTGATGGGAGGTACAAGATGGACCTGTTTCTGTATTGAAGCCGAGCTCACGGTATTTCGAGACACTTCGTTGGAAAGGAAATCTTGGGACAACTAGATAGGGTGAAAAATTTGGATAAGCGTGACTTGCTGGAGGAGGATCGATGTTTGTGGTCGAGCAATGGTTTGCATAAGAGGTTCTGGACTGAGGCTTCGATATATTTGAGTCATCCTATTAAAGAGTTGTCAACTGCTGTGATTGGAGGTAAAACTCTATTAGAAGATAGGTTTGATTGTGTTACTTTGGATGAGGCTTCGATGAGGAAGCCAATTGACTCTCAGCTGGTGGAGAGTTTTGGACAGACTTTAGATGTATCGCAGCGGGTGGAGATGGATGCTACTCCACATTGGGTGAAGATTACTCCAGATCATACTGCATTGTAACAACCGTAAATTTTGATACGTATTTAAATAAATTTTTCTAGTATTTAAAATATTACATTATATTTTATTAATACTTTTCCTAATTTCTGAAATTTTCTGAGTTTTCAAAATAAATAAATAATAAAATATATAGTCTTGTATTTTAATTCTGCTAAATATTAATTTACAGTTTAGTGATTTTTATATATAATCATTTGGTGATTAATATTATTAATGACCTTGTTATTATTGATGTAAACTTGAGTATAGTACAGTAGTATATAAATATTAATAAAAAAAAGATTTTTGGTTGATTATTAATTATTAATATAATTCAGAATATTACGTGAAATTTTTGAATTTTCCCTCTTTTATTTTTTCTCATTTGAATTTGAATTCCTTCCATATTTTTTCCTAATTTATTTCTCAATCAATTCCCTAATCACCTTTTAACTATTTCCTATTCACTCCCTTGATTTTCTCTCCCCAACAATCACGTGCAAATCTCCTCTATCCCTCTCTCTCTCTCCATCAGTTCACCTCATCCCAAAAGAAAACCATCTTCTTCTTCCTCAAGCACCCACACCCGACAACCCATACCCGCCGCCTGCCTGCAGGTCCCTCTCCCTCCGCCGAGCCGCCACAGCCTCTGCCTCCGAGACCGCGCCGCCTGAGACCCGTGTCGCCATCCGAGCGTGCAGCACCCCACTCGCCGCTCTCCCTCTACCAGCTCGACGCCCCACCCTCGCCTGCTCGCCTCCGCGCCGTCCCCCTCTCTCCCCGCCGAGATCCCACAGCCTCGCCCAACGCCGCTGTCCGACCTCCATCACCGCTCCGCCACCTTCTCCGACCATCCCCTTCGCCGCCCCACTCGTCTCCCTGTCGCCGGCAAGCCTGAGATCCGCCAACCCTCGTCCTCCCCTCGGCCACGCAAACAGCCCCCTTACATCGTAGGCAAGATCCCGCATCACCTCATCACCATTACAATTTCTATATATGTTATTTATTATATATGTTGTTTAGATTATGATATTATGCGTGGGATGATGATGAATGTTGTTAAGTATTATTGTGGTAGATTACTTGTGAAATGATGAATATAAAATGACAAGCTTGCATTTTGGAAGCTAAATAAATTTTAAGAGTTGTTATCGAAAAAGAAAATTAGAATAATTAAAAAAAAACAGTTACTGTTCATATGGAATATATATAATAATAATAATGATATTTAAAAGGTTATTCTTGAATAATTTATGAGAAATAAATTAAAAGGATTTATTTTAGATTAATTATAATGAGAAAAGAAATTATTTTGAAAGAGAGAATATTAAAAAGAATTTATTAAAAAATATTTTTAGAATTATTTAAAAGGAGTTTATTTTGGAAAATGAATTTATGAATTATCTATTCTTTATATTTGTCGTACGTGTGGATTTCCATTTTATGGTCATTTATTAGAATTTTAGATCTGTTATGAATTTCATGCCTAGATTAAACTGTGGATATGTTATTACAATGCGTGGGATTGGTTGACATGAATAGCTGTGTGGAAGCTTATTGTTTTATCACCTAGTTG